ACAAGGAGAGACTCGGGACGACAAGCTCGTCTCGAGGAGGGCCCCTGGGATCCAGAGCCCGCTCCTTTGGGTGCAACTCCCACGGGAGGTCAAGTTCAGCTTCGGCGCTGGTGTATCTGTGGTCGACCACTGGGCCACTCCAGCATTATACCTCCTGGTCTTGTCCAGCCCTGTGTGAAATCTGGGCGGCGAATCTGGCCCAGTGTCCAAGAGGTGTGCCCAGGAGGCCTCAGACCCTGAGGAATTCCTTATCAGATAACGGCGGCGGTGATATCCTTGGCCATGCCCCAATTGGTGTGCCACCAGATTTCAGACCCTGGGCTCCTTATCCAGGAGTTCCTTATCCAGTGTCCTCACCGCGCGCGGGGACAGTGGGCCCCGGGAGGACGAGCCCTAGGCTGTGGGCTTGTTCTTGGGGGCCCCGCCCGCGCCTCTGTTCACGATATTCGAATCACGGGTGGGTCCGCCCACCCTCGAAGAGTTAAAACATGTCCTCACCGTCTTCGTGGACGCCTCGTCGCTTCTCCAGCGGCCCCGCTGGCAGGTGCATTGGGAGTGGCGCCAAGCTGGCTGGGAGAGCCCCATGGCGGTGGCGGACGGGACGCTGGTGTTCACCGACGGCTCCTGCGTGCATGGGAGCTTCACCTCGCTGCGCTGCGCTGGCTGGTCGGTCATCGTGATCTCGGCCAGCGGCCAGGTGCTGGCCCAAGCGTGGGGGGCGGTCCCGCCCGAGCTGCTGCCAAGCATGTCGGCGCGCGCGGGCTGGGACTACGCGGCTGTGCTGGCGCTCGCGCAGATCGTCGGGCGCTTCACCCTGCACTGCGACTGCAAGGGCACTGTGGACTGCATCAGGGACATTCCCAGGACCCGAGGACTTTCGTCGCCTCACTCCCACCTCTGGGCCAGGGTGGGGGACTGAACGGAAGGGATCGATGTAAAGCACATCCCTGCCCACACCTCGGAGGCGGCGGTCGTCAGAGGCGAGATCACGGCCTTGGAGCGCGAGGGCAACACGATCGCGGACAAGCGGGCCGAGGAGGCGCGGCGCTGCAGGCTCCAGCGGGCGAGCACCTCCTGGTGCTGAACGGGCTGCTGGCGCGCGCCCGAGAGGCCTGCCGTTTCGCCGCCGAGATTGAGGCCCACATCTCGGACCAAGGGTGCCGCGACTGCTGGCCGACATAGGCCCTGGAGGACATCGACCTGGGCTACTTCGGCGACGGAGTGACGGACGCGGCGGAGGCCAGCACGGCGCGCAGCGGCGCTGGGCGTGCAGCGGCTGCGGGGGCGGCGGTGGCGCTTGCGGCGGCGTCGGCCTCCAGCACGGCCCCCAGCTCGGCCAGCGCCCCTGCTGTTCCAGGCGGAGGCAGGCCGACGGCCGCTCGCAAGCGCCCAGCGGCGGCCCCGCCCTCCACCCTGCCCGCGGCCTCGCAGGTGCCCGATGGCTAGACGGCGGCCGAGGCCTTGCGGCGGGTGTCCCGCAGGCTGCAGCTGGAGCGCGCACAGCCAGGCGAGGCGGGGCCGCAGGCCGCGGCCCAGGAACCGAAGCTGGAGGCTGGCGCGGCGTGCTCGCGGCCGTGGGCGGTCCACGGGCACCAAGTCATGGAGGGCCAGGTGTTCAGCAAGACTGCGGAACCCTTCGTCGTGTGCACGGCGTGCTTCAAGTACGCCAGGGCGCCGAGGATGGCGCACAAACGGCTGCGCGACCAGTGCTTCGGCGCGGAGCATCGGGCCAAGAGCGGCTCGCGCGCCCGGGCGAGGAACGACCTCGACAGGAGGATCCTCCCAGGCACGAAGGAGGCGTTCGGTGACCTCCAGCCGCCGACGGTGGCCACGCGGGCGCGCTGGGCGGTCAACCTCAGGGTCGCCGGCGATGTAGAGCGGGAGGCGGTGGGCCGCGGCAGCGCATGCGAACCCTCGGTACGAGAGGCCGCAGGTGCGGTGCTTGGCCCAGGCGCGGGCGCTGCGGCGGCAAGCCAGCTGATCCTACCGCCGCTGGAGAGCGTGGCGCGGGCGTACGGCTTCGGGTCCCTGGCGGCGGCGAGGAACCACGGCCGAATGGCCCGCGCCGAACGCGCTGCGGCTGCGCGCGGGGTCCGTGGGCCCCAGGAGGACGAGCGCGGCCTGTTTTGAGGTGCTCGCTCCTGGGGGTCCCTCCCGCTCGGTGCATGGCGAATACAAACAAGGGCGCTCGCGCCCGCTAGTGTGTATAAGTGTGTATATGTGTATATATATATATATGTATATATATGTGTGTGTACGTATGTAAAAATATGTATAGGAAAAATACAGGGACCCGCGAGTCTCATACATATATATATACAGAGAGAGAGAGAGAGAGAGAGAGAGAGAGAGAGAGAGAGAGAGAGAGAATGTCCTCACCGTCATGCTTCCCCCAGGGCTCAATCCTCTGTTTGGGGCGATTCTTGCTCCATGGCCCCTGCATCGGGCCTACGAAGACCTCCCAGGAACTGCTTCCCAATGCTTCCGAGCCCGCTTCCGTTTCGGGGGAAAGAGAAACGACACCACCACCAGGGGGGCCACGTCCAGCGAGAAGGACCGAGATGCCTTCCCGAGATGGGGATATGCGATGCCTCGAGCGAGATGGGGGGGGGCACACTATCAGAGGGGGACCCCCTGGCTCCTGGCGCTGAGGGTCCCTGGTGGTGGTGGTATCGCAGTTCCCAGACCCCCGACGTCATGATTTTTTCATAACATCGGCTCCGAGGTCTCGACCCGTTCCCAAGGACAAGCGATTCGCCCTGAGTCGTGCTTGAGGGCCCCGAGGCCCGGTAATGGCCACTGGAGGCGGAATGCATAGAAAACCCTTTCCGTCCTGATTTCTCGATGGGGTCTGGTTTCGGGCTTTTTCTCCCCGCGCCAGGCAGCCGGACGTCGCCGTTCACCAGGCCGCGCTGGCGCCCGCGCCCGCGCCCGCGGCGGCCGCGGGGGGGCAGGCCGCCGCCCCCGAGCTGGCCCCGGCGGGCTCCGCGCCCGCAGGGGGCGAGGCCTGCGACGGGCGGGAGCCGCCTGCCGCGCCCGGGGCGGAGGGCGGCGGCGGGGGCACCGCCAGGATGCGAGCAGCAAGCCCGGACACGTGGCGTCTCGAGAGAAACGGCGACACGTGAGAGGGACCGTTCGCCGTAAGGACCTGGCGCGGGCCCAGGGGGGCCTCCCGATCGCCGAGCGCGATGCGATAGCAGCGGCCTGCTGCGACTGTGTCTGGTCCCCCCCGCGGCCCCCAAGAAACCGCGTACCAAAAGTCACCCTTAACCCAAGGTCAATCTTAAAAGTGTAGCCAGAAGTCTAGACGGAGGTCTTGCATAGTTGTCGGCATCTCGAGGCCCTGACCAGGCCCCAGGACTGTCAAGCACGAGGCTCGGGATGAAAAGCGGGCCCCGGGAGGCGGTCGAGAGCTATCTGGGGGCCGACGCCATGAAAAATCATGACGTCGGGGGTCTGTGAATGAGGCGTTCCAGAAACGGCCTTACTTTCGAGCCGGCGATTTATACATACCACTGCCCGGAGGATGGATTGGGACCTCCACAGGCGGTGGATCTGAACACGTTACATTTGGCCTCCAGGGGTCAAAATATATCCATGTCCACCGCACGTTTGGTCCCCAGAGCGTCGGTTTCCAGGCGATGGGTATATATATATATATATATATATATATCCGCCTCGGACCCACTTTCGAGGATCGAGAGGGGTTTGCTGCAGTTTTTCCTCGTCGGAAGGCGGCGGAAGGCCGGCGGAAGGCGGCGCAGGCAAAACGAGGGCGCCTCAGCCGGCGGACGCTGGCGGCAGGCGGAAGTAACAATTGCCCCCCCCCCCCAGGGATGGCAAGGTTTTTTGGTTCCGTGGTTCCAGGGCCCGCCACATGTTGGCCGGCGTGGGCCCCAAGCGGTAAGCTGGTGCAAGCTGTGGACGTGCAAGCTGCGTGGTGCCAGCTGTGTGTGGTCAGCTGCATGTGGTGCAGCATGCGAGGTGCAACCGAGATGCAGCTGCGGGCGGCAATATGGCGAAACTTCGCCAGGCCCGCCCAGCGCACGAGGCGGCCCCGAGGCGGTCACGGGCGGCCACTGGCGACACCTCGCAGGACCCGTCCAATTCATGCCCTCAGGCGTCCCACCGAAAGTTTGTATCCGTTCCACGTTCTGTTCCTCCGAGGGTGGGCGCCGCTTCGCCAGGGGCTGATGGCGGCGGCGAGGCCAGCGCTGCCGAAGACTTGGGGACCCCCAAACGATGTGGTGACCACATCCTTCGCCAGGAAGGAAGAGTGATCCTGAGGGGAACGGGGCGAAGGTTTTTCTTTGCTGTTTGTTCGCTTCCGGGGCCGTCCATGGGGCCCCTGGAATGTCGGAGGCCAAGTCAGGATGCAGAATCGGTCCTGGGGGAAGGGCCCGGGGCTGATGTTTTTCAATCGGTTGTTTGGCTTCCCGGGGCCATCCGGGGTCTCCCTGGGTTTTGTCTGAAAACAGGTCGGGACGAAGCCGTGGATCATGGGGGAAGGGCCCAGGGCCCAGGACCCTGGAATGTCGAGACACAACTCTAGAGGAGGAGCTGGTCCTGGGGGGAAGGGCCCATAGGGCCGCAGGGAGGGAGCCCGTACCATGGGGCCTCGGGGCGCCCGCACGGTTTTCTCGGGGGATTCTGTGGGCCGGTGCGGCCGAGGTCGTCGCAGGGGCCACCCGGGGCCCCCAGGGTTCCCGGGGCCGTGCGGCGACGGACCTCGCGGCGAGGCCAGTGGCCAGCCCCAGTCCCAACTCCCATCCCCGAGCCAATACGATCCACAAGGGGCGGGGAGACCGGCCGGTGGGGGCGTCTTCTCCCTGCCCGGGCCCCGAGAGTCCACACCCGCCCCTTGGCCCGACGCCCTTGGTTCGCGGGTTCGGGGAGGGGGTCGGGACTGGGGGGTGCGGGGGGGTTTGCGCCTTCCCAGCTGGGGATCCCGACGTCCCCGCACGGGCGGTCACCGCACCGCTGCTCTCCCCCAAAGAAAGGACGCGGCCACGCCGGAGGGCGGCTCGCCGCGGCACGCGGCGGGCGCGCCCCCGGCGTCGCTGCGGGAGCAGGAGGCGCGCCTCGCCGCGGGTGCCGAGCGGCGGCTGCGCCTGGACGCGGCCATCCGCGCGAAGATTGGGCGGGTGGACCTCAGGGGAACTGGTAAGGTCGGAGGTTGATTGACCTCCTACAGTCGGGGCGTTGACCTAAGGAACCCTAAATAAGGAACGAGGCCCCTTTTTTCCCATAAGTTAAACTTCGATCTCCCATGGAAAACCAAACGCAATCTGTAAAACAATCAAGGAACACCAAGCCCCTCGCCAACGAGAAGGGTTCCTTCTTCAGCGCCCCGACTGTACCCTGACACGTCGATCAGCGAATTGGCCGTCTTCGGCTCGCGAGAGGGCGTCGCGGCCGTCATTTTTGCGGGTCCACGTCCGTCGGTCTGTGTCCTAGCTAGGACCGTTTTCATTGAAAGGTGTTTCCCCAGTCAGTGCTTGCACTGAAGGGGTCCTCGCGGAAGTTGAATGATTTGGCGAAAGTTTCCCGCCGATTTTGGTCGCACGCTGGGTTCCCGGGTTCCCGGTTCCAGGTTCCCAGGTTATTGGTTCCGGGTTCCGGGCCGATTTCGGAGGGCGGCGAGGTTCCTGGGTTCCCGGGTTCCTGGTCGATCTTCTTATCGATCGGTCTCACCATCGATCTCATTACCCATTTCTCTATCGATCTCACCATCGATCTCTCAATCGATCTCACTATCGACCTCACAAGCGATCTCACTAGAGCTCGCATGAGCGATCTCGCGATCGATCTCACGATCGATCTCATTGAATCGATTTCACTCCAGTCTCACGATCGACCTTATAATCCTCCTCGCTATCGATTCCACTATCGATCTCACAATCGATCTCAATATCCACAGTATTAATGTTCAAACCATTCATTGATTGGGTTTTCTCAGGTGTAATTTACTAAAGGGAGGTTTGTCCACCGCCGAAAGAGGGGTGTGCGGTCGGGAACTTTTGGATAGCGTGTCCCTCCGCCACGTTTCAGTCCCTATAGGCTTTCCACGTCCCGAGCTCTGCCCAACCTCCCGAGATGACGCAGAGCGGGGCGACTCGCCGTGCGCTTGCAGGGCACAGCGGGTCGCAGGCTCCTGACCGCAGGCTCAGGGGGGGGCATGTATCGACACGACAGGTTCGAGGTTCAAGGTTTTCAAGGTTGTCGGGCGCGTTCGTTAGTTCCCAGCGGTCTTCCATCCTCGGGGTGCTCTCCAGCAGCTTCGCCTCGCCGAGAGCTTTCCAGGGGCGCTGGGCTCGTCCCGAACAGCCGCCGGAGGCCCGAAGCATGGCCCGAGAAACACCCAGAACCCGCGCACGGGGGCGAACGCACCGACCCCCTATCGCTCTTTCATCGCCGATCGGGGCCCGCTAGCCCAGCCCGCCCGGGAGCGCTAGGACTCGCTGTCGGGAGCCTGTCGCTTACATCTGTCGTCGACGTGGCGCCGATCTCCAGTCGACGCGTCCCCCGCTGCAGGGCCCGTGTCGACCCCGTCTATAGCCGACTGCATGTTGGTTCCGGCCCTCCCGAGCCGATTAGATCCCGCTGCTCCCGCGATGCGGTGCGGCCGGAGGCCTGCGTTAGGGGGCCACACGCGAACCCCACCCCTACCCCCCACGATTTCTGAGGGGGAGGGTGGGGTTCACTTCGCTCGGGAGCTCCCGAGCGAAGTGAACCCACCTTCCCCCTCAGAAATCGTGGGGGGTATGGGGGTGGGGCTCGCATGTGGCCACCTATGCGTGGCGCTGCTGCGCCTCCCGGCGCGACCGAGCCGGTGCGAAGCCGACGCGGCCCGATATGCGGCCCGAGATGCGGCGCGGCCCGATGCGGCCGGGGCCGCTCGAGCCCGAGAGCCCATGCGCGCCGGGCCCGGGCGCGCTGCCCCCCGCAGGACCTGGAGCTGGAGCCCGCGCGGCGGGGGCTGGCGGAGCTCGAGGCCGAGGCGGGGAGGTGTCGGGCCGGACGAACGGGGGGAAATTGGGAAAGGGGTGGGGTGACGAAGTGTGCGGCATGTGGCCGGTGTCGGCCCCATCGAGGGGCCCATTCCTCGATGCATGCCCAGGATAAGCAGCTGCGCGAGCTGATTCTCACCCCCCCCCCCCCGTTGCTATCCCCCCCTTTCGCACAGCCCGGAGGTGGCGCGCGAGGGTGGCGGAGCAGGGCGCGCGCACCCGCGCGGCGGAGCAGGCGCTGGCGGAGCAGCGCGCGCTGCTGCAGGAGGCGGCGGGGGCGGCCCTGCAGCGCCAGCGGGAGGGCCAGGAGTGCCGCCACGCCGTCGTCCGTCGTCGTCCGTCGTCGTCGTCGTCGTCGTCGTCGTCGTCGTCGTCGTCGTCCGTCGTCGTCGTCGTCGTCGTCGTCGTCGTCGTCGTTTTCATCGTCGTCGTCGTCGTTTTCGTCGTCGTCGTCGTCGTCGTCGTTTTCGTCGTTTTCATCGTCGTCGTCGTTTTCATCGTCGTCGTCAACGTCGTCGTCGTTTTCGTCGTTTTCATCGTCGTCGTCGTTTTCGTCGTCGTCGGCGTCGTCGTCGAAGGCGTCGCGGTCGTCGCCATTGGCGGAACGCGCTCAGGGAAAGGTAATGTGTGGGGAGCTGCGGAATCTGGATTATTACCTCGCTTCGTTCATTCCGCCGGCTCATATTGTCTCTGCCGATAATCTACCGAGTGTTCGTGCGGATTGCTGAGCCGCAGGGAGGTCATCCAGGTTTTTGAGGCGTGGTATTCGGCACGCTGTGTGAGGCCTCCAGAGGTCGGAGACCTTCTTCAGGACTGGCTGTTCATCCCGAGTTGTTTTGTAACGACTCCAGGGCTGGTTGAGGGCTCCCGGAGGCTGACAACTGCTTACCAAAACCCTCCGCGATCTTCTCACGACGCGGGGACTTGAAATTTCCCTGTGAGGCTAATGCGTGCCAATGGTGTGGGCGTGCTCGTGGCGAAACAGATTAGGATGAGGAATCAGAGGATGATGAGGAGGAGGCCTGTGGAAGGTCACTTGGGGAACTCTTAAGGCGAAACTGGGTCATCGACAAGACGGGTCTCTGAGATACATCGTGGGGTTTCTTGGGAGGCCCCTTGTTAGCCTCTTGGGACCTTCTTGGGCTAGAATTTTGGGGCCTCTTGGAGTGTTTTGGGGCCCTGCTGGCGGTCTCGTGAGCGATCCGGCGGGAAAGGGCCAGACATGGTAGCTCGTAGTAGCGCTCTTGGGGTCTTCTGGGAGCCTCTGGAGCCGTCTTGAGGAGCCTTTTGGGCTGTCTTGCAGCGCTCTGTGGCCGTCTTGGGTTCATCTTGAAGGCATGTTGAGCCGTTTTGTGGCGATTTTGAGGGCCTCCTAGGCAATATTGAACGGTGTAAAGCGTCAGAATTCGAAGATGCGGGACATGTATATACGTTCTCTTTTGGGAATGGTGCGAATTGTACTTCTTTGGGCCTTCTTGGAGGGCCTCTTGAGGCCCTCTTGGAGCTTCTTGGCGCTTCTGGGACTGTCTGGAGGCCATCTTAGGCGTCTTGGAACGATCTGTCGGCGACTCGGGGCCTCTTGGACCGATTCCGGGGCGTCTGGAGCACTCTGGGGGACCTTGCGGAGACCTTGCCGGGAGTCTCCCGGGTTTCGGGGACTCCCAGGGGCCGCCACGCGCGCGCGAGCTAGAATTCGCAAACGTGCAACCCGTGATCTTACACAGGCCCCCGGGCCGTTGAGCGGGCGCATTTCCTTCACCAGCAGGGTAGAGTCGGAGGGGCAAGGGGATGCCGAGGTCCGGGGAGCCCTCGTCGCCACGAGTGGTTTCCCCTCGAGATCCTGGTCAGAGCGCGCCCCAGCAGAGCCCTGGTATCGGCACCTCCCGCTCCTCTCCGAGGAGCTCCGCCACGAGGTCGCCGAGGCGCAGGGCGCGTACGACCGGCTGTGCGAGGACCTGCAGGCTGCCAGCGGGAAGGAAGCAGGCGGCGCCGCCAGGAGCAGGGGCGCCGCCATCCCAGACCCCTGGCGTCATGACTTTCTCAGAGCGTCGACCCTCCGAGGTCTCGACCCATTCCCCTGGACCGGCTTTGCATCCTGGGTCGGTTTGTCACGCTCCCGAGGCCCGGCAAGGGCCCCTGGAGGCCGAACACAGCGAGGAACCTCCCGCCATGATGTTTTGCATTGCCCAAGGGGGTCTGGGTCTACCGAGGAGGAGGCCCCCTCGGTGCTTTCCCGAGCTGAGGATGAAGGGGGACGGCTTGAGCGGGGGTGGGGAGGGGCACGCCACGAGGAGCCCCCTCCTCGGAGGTGGCGGACCCCCCTCTCTGGCTCCTCCTCCTCCTCGTCCTCCTCCTCCTCCACAATTACACAATATGAATACTACTCTCATCCATCCCCTGATGGCGTGCGGAAGATAGCGGGCACCCCTCCGCGTATTGTTTTTTACACCGGATTTCCCGCAGTTGTGTTTTTTCTTGTTTTTTTTCAAAATGATGTTCTCGCTTAGGCGCGGGCTTCATTTTCGGGCGTCCGCTCGTTCCGAATCGTGCTCACGCTGCAGCGCTGGCCTCATTTCCGTGCTTCGGCTCGTTCCGAATCGTGCTCCCGCTGCAGCGGTGGCCTCATTTCCGCGCTTCCGCTCGTTCCGAATCGTGCTCCCGCTGCAGCGTTGGCGTCATTTCCAGTGCCATGCCCCGGCATGCAATGCAATGCTAGGTTGCGTTCCGCTGCGCGATGCCATGTCTTCAGCTGCAGCTGTCATATCCAGTGCGTAAGTGCCACGTCATGCTATGCCATGCTACGCTTTGAACTTCAACGCCATGCTATGCAATGTTATGTTCGGGGCCGCTGTGCGATGCCATGCTTTGCGTTGCAAAGCTTTGTGATGCAAGTCTTCACTACACCACGCCACGCCATGCTGTGACACACTACGCTGTGCGGTGCTCTTCTACGCCATGCCATGCCGTGCTCTACAATTCATCGCGTACCCTTTCGGGATCAGTGCCCTGCTCGACATCCAACTGTGCGAGTAGAGAGGGGATCTACGCCATGGTAAGGGATGGGAGGGAGGGGTAGGATGTCAGATATGACGCGAGCGCACCTACCTTGTTCCCCCTTCCCCTCCTCCTCCTCCTTCTCCTCCTCCTCCTCCTCCTCCTCCTCCTCCTCCTCCTACTCCCTCTCCTCCTCCTCCTCTCCTCCTCCTCCTCCTCCTCCTCCTCCTCCTCCTCTCCTCCTCCTCCTCCTCCTCCTCCTCTCCTCCTCCTCCTCCTCCTCCTCCTCCTCCTCCTCCTCCTCCCCCTCCGTCTCCGTCTCCGTCTCCTCCTCCTCCTCCTCCTCCTCCGCCTCCTCCTCCTCCTCTGGCTCCTCGCGCTGGTTGTGGTCCTGCCGCCACTGGAGCCTTCGGTGGAGCTCCTTATTAACACTCCCGAGGACGGGTAGGGCCCCCGGAGGCCGAACATAGCGAGAAACCTCTCGTCATGATTATTTTGCATTGCCCAAGGGTGTCTGGTTCCACCGAGGAGGCCCGCTCGGTGCATCCCCGAGCTGTGGATGGAGGGGGATGGCATGAGCAGGGGGGGGGAGGGGCGCGCCGCGAGGAGCCCCCTCCTCGGAGGTGGCAGACCCCCTTTCTGGCTCCTCCTCCTCCTCCTCCTCCTCCTCCTCCTCCTCCTGACGACTCACATTGCGACCAAAAAGGTTAGTGTGACCTAACCTCACCTGCTCATAGACCCCTCACGATCAAACCACCTGTGAGGCCGCAGCTGACTGGGAGAGATCAAAGGGCCGCACTTCAACGGTGATCCACTTACCCCTGTACAACACTCGACCCTTCTCGAAGCCTGAGAGAACCCTCCTCCCCCAGACTCCAGGCGGGCCGCAACTCCTGCCAAGTTTGAGGACCTGGCCACCGACATCCGTGCAGGCGCCACAATGGGCGCAAACCACCCCGTTAACAAAACTGGCATTGCTCACCCACCTGCGCAATGCATGCCCGCCGTCCACCACCCGAGCTCTCCCACCCTCCGACCTCAGGGGCACGGTAGGAGGAGAGGGGGCGGCGGCGGCGGCGGGGGCAGTTGCGGCCGCACGCGCCTCCTTGCGGGCGCGGCGTGCGGCCTGCAGTTGCACTTTGGACAGGTGCTCGCGGTCGAACCGAACCTGACGGGCACTTGCTTTGGCCACCTGGCTGGCCACACTGGAAACGAGCGCGGTGGCCTGTCGGTAGCGCTGCCGATGGGCTCGATCGATCCTCCCCCCACTGGCAACCTTCCTGGCCCAGTGGTCGGCGCGCTCATTGCCAACACAAAACACGGACCGACAGACTCGATGCGCGTCGTTGCTCGAGAGTGACATGGCTCTTGACTTTGACAATCCAGAGGTCCCCCCCCACCGAGACCACCCCAGACCTCGACCCGAGCCCACACCAACTCCCAGAGATCTGCATGAGCACTGCGTGGGTCAGTGCACTGAAATTTGCCTCGCCTCGAGAGACCGTCCACGACAAATTCGCTGTCACTGTGAAAAACAGCGGGAGGCCGAGCAGCCCTGAGTCCTTGCAGGAGGGCCATCAGCTCAGCCCGATCGATGCACTGCACAGGGCCCTCAAGACCACCCGCGAACACGGCGACTTCCTCGTCCTCCTCCTCCTCATCCTCCTCCTCATCCTCCCCCTCCTCCTCCTCCTCCTCCTCCCTCCTCCTCCTCCTCCTCCTCCTCCTCCTCCTCCCCCTCCTCCTTTCCTCCTCCTCCTCCTCCTCCTCCTCCTCCTCCTCCTCCTCCTCCCTCCTCCTCCTCCTCCTCCTCTCCTCCTCCTCCTCCTCCTCCTCCCCCTCCTCCTCCTCCTCCCCCTCCTCCTCCTCCTCCTCCTCCTCCTCCTCCTCCTCCTCCTCCTCCTCCTCCTCCTCCTCATTCTCCTTCTCCTCCTCCTCCTCCTCCTCTCCTCCTCCTCCTCCTCCTCCTCCTCCTCCTCCTCCCCTCCTCCTCCTCCTCCTCCTCCTCCTCCTCCTCCTCCCCCTTCCCCCCCCCCTCCTCCTCCCCCTCCTCCTCCTCCTCCTCCTCCTCCTCCTCATCCTCCTCCTCCTCCTCCTCATCCTTCCTCTCCTCCTCCTCCTCCTCCTCCTCCTCCTCCTCCCCCTCCTCCTCCTCCCCCTCCTCTCCTCCTCCTCCTCCTCCTCCTCCTCCCCCTCCTCCTCCTCCTCCTCCCTCTCCTCCTCCTCCTCCTCCTCCCTCCTCCTCCTCCTCCTCCTCCTCCTCCTCCTCCTCCTCCTCCTCCTCCTCCTCCTCCTCCTCCCCTTCCTCCTCTGGCTCCTCGCGCTGGTGGTGGTCCTGCCGCGCCTCTTGCCAAGCTTCGATCCGACATGTTTGATCCGCAGCCTCGGAGGCCCTGCCCGCCTACCTGGGTGTTTGTTTGGGCAACACTTGATGCACTCGAGGAAAAACACGCCGCGATGAAACATCAGCCTGGCGATTTGCAGTTGTTGATACCGCAGCTTTGAACCTCGTCTTCGGTGGAGCTCCCTAGGGGGCCACGGAGCGTGTGAGGAGTGTACCGGAATGGGCGCGGAGGGCGCATGCGAACGCAGCCATTGGGACCTTCGGTGGAATTTCTTATGGGGCCACGAAGCGTTCGCGGGGTGTTGACATGGGTGCGGTGTGCGCAAGCGAACGCTGCCACTGGGGCCTTCGGTGGAGTTCCCTATGGAGGCACGAAGCGTGTGAGGGTAGTGCCGACATCGACACGATGGGCGCATGCGAACGCGGCCGCTGGGGCTTTCGGTGGAGCTCTCGACGTGACCACGATACGTGTGAGGGGGATACCGAAATCGGTGCGGTGTGCGCATGCGAACGCAGCCACTGGAGCCTTCGGTGGGACTCCCTATGGGGCTGTCGGTGGAGCTCTCTACGGGGCCACGGAACGTGTGAGCGGTGTGCCTACATGGGTGTGGAGGGCGCATGCGAAGCCACAGGGGCCTTCGATGGAGCTCCCTGTGGGGCCACGAAGCGTGCGAGGGGGTCGCAGGAATGGCCGTGCTGGGCGCATGCGAACGCAGGCATTGGGGCCTTCGGTGGAGCTCCCTATTGCGCCACGAATGGTGTGACGGGAATGCCGGAATCGGTTCGGTGGGCGCATGCGAATGCAGCCATTGGGGCCTTCGGTGGAGCTTTCTATGGGGCCACGAAACGTGTGGGGGGTCTGGACATGGTTGCGGTGGGCGCATGCGAACGCAGCCGGTGGAGACTTCGGTGGAGCTCCTTCTGGAGGCACGGAACGTATGGGGGGTTGTGCTGACATAGGTTCGGAGGGCGCATGCGAACGCGGCCACTGGGGCCTTCGGTGGAGCTCGGGCACGAAACGTGTGATGTGGTGTGTCAACATGAGTGCGGTGGGCGCATGCGAACGCAGCCACTGGGGCCTTCGGCGGATCCTCACGGGGCCATGAAACGTATGAAGGGGTGTGCCTGCAACGGTGCGAAGGGCGCATGCGAATGCAGCCGCTGGGGCCTTCGGTGGTGCTCCCTATCGCGCCACGAATCGTGTGACGAAAATGCCGGAATCGGTGCGGTGGGCGCGTTCGCAGCCGTTGGGGCCTTCGGTAGAGCGCCCCATGGGGCCACAGAACGCTTGAGGGGTGTGCCCAAATCGGTACGGTGAGCGAGCGCACGCGAACGCAGCCACTGAGGCCTTCGATGTAGCTCCCTATGGGACCACGAAACGTGTGATGGGGTGTGGCGACTTCGGCACGATGGGCGCATACGAACGCAGCGACTGGAGCTGTCGGGTGGAGCTCTCTACGGGGCCTCGGAACGTGTGAGTGGTGTGCCTACATGGGTGCGGAGGGCGCATGCGAAGCCGCAGTGGCATTCGATGGAGCTCCCTGTGGGGCCACGAAGCGTGCGAGGGGGTCGCCGAATTGGCCGTGCTGGGCGCATGCGAACGCAGCCACTGGGGCCTTCGGTGGAGCTTTCTATGGGGCCACGAAGCGTGTGAGGGATGTGCCGAGATGGATGACTGGTGCGGAGGGCAGAGGCAGGGAGGAGAGGAGCGAGGAGCAGGAGGAGGGGCAGTGGGAGGAGGAGGAGGAGAAGGAGGAGGAGGAGGAGGAGGAGCAGCAGGAGGAGGAGGAGGAGGAGAACGCGGGGCGCTGTCTCTTCGAGGCGAAGACTCAACAGCACAGGATTGTTGGGAAAGGAGATTCATCGGATGTCTTGGTCGTCTGGGCCCCTGCCAGGCCACGCTCAGCGAGATAGCCGAGCTGGACCGGCAGGACAGCGACGCCAAGAGGCCAGGGCCCCTTAAACCTGAGCGCTGCGAGCCAGGGCCTTGACGAATCCCACCAGGATTCCTCCTCCTCCTGCTCTTCTTCCTCCTCCTTCTCCTCCTCCTCGTCCTCTCCTCCTCCTCCTCCTCCTCCTCCTCCTCCTCCTCCTCCCCCTTCTCTTCCTCCTCCTCCTCCTCCTCCTCATTCTCCCCCTCCTCCTCAAGTTCGTCGTCTTCTTCTTCGTCTTCTTCTTCGTCTCCTTCTTTTTTGGGGGGATGGTGGTCCCAGCGCCGATCCATCGCAACGGCATGAAGACTGGCACGTGGAGAACAACTCTTGAAGGAATTCAGCCAAGCAACACGGCGTCCAGGACACTTCGCATTTCACATTTCGAAGAAGAGAGCACCTGCGTAAACATCGACTCCTGGAGGTCCGCTCGGACTCCCTTGGCTAGAAGAAGAACACACGCCATACGCATAAACCTTTGGCGCTCCTCGCGGATTTCTTGGATCTGGGCTGGGCCCCCCCCCCCTGGCGCGCGGAGCGCGCCAGGGGCGGCACCAGAGGCGCCGCCAGGCGGGCCCAGCGCGGATCCAAGAAATCCGCGCGAAGCGCTAAACATCTAATCCAGGGAATCCGAGCGGACCCCCGAACGTCGATATCTATGCAGGTGCTCTCTCCTTCGAAGTGTCCTGGACACCGTGTGTTTTGTTGCTGAATTCCTTCAAGGGTTGTTCTACACGTGCCAGTCTTCATCCCATCGCCGAGTCCTCGGAAGTTTTCTCTCACCATGGTCTCCTGTCTCCTGTTCCGCAGCCTACTTGGGGGATCAGCTCGAGTCCGTCAGGGACGATGGCGCCACCGAGCTGCACCTGGTGTTTGAGAACATTCCTGTACTCAAAAGTTGCCCACGCTCACGGGGGCCCCGCCGAGACTCTGGAAGTTTAAATCTACGGTAGGTTCGCATCGTGTCGACCAGCGGCGACCCCGCCGCGGGCGTTCACCGATGAACACCGGCGGCGGCCAGGAGCCAACACCAGGGTCGACGCGACACGGACCTGCCGTGTGCTGTATGCAAGCATCTTGGCTTACGGTCGAATTTGATTCGTAGGTCGATCTTGTGTCCTGCGTTCAGCGACCAGTACCTTCCACATTGCTGTGGCAGTGCGGCCCTCGAAAGGGTCTTGGGTCCTCTCGCGCGTCCTCGCCACTTAAGCTCGACTGTATATCTGTCCTCGCTCCTCAGGGCGGGTATAGCCAGGAGCCCTGTTGAGGGGAGCCGGTCAGTGAATTGGGACCCGAAGCCTCCAAAGTTAACCGGAATCATCAAACCAAGTCTGCCGTAGTTGGTGTCTCTTCGGGTGACGGCAGTTCTGGCCAGTGTTAGGTCGGGCATGTATTCCTACACGCGGATTTTGGAGGACAAATGGAAATTACGCTACCGAGGAACCCCACATCTTTTTTAACATGTCGGGCGTGACGATAGTTGACGTGAAACTTGCGGGAATTGTGCAGGTGGCCGTTGCTTCGCCGATACCGTTGGTGGCGCCGGTCAAGCCTTGGGAGCCTCAGTACCCTGTGGCGGTCCAGGAAGGGCAAAGTCTGGGCGTCATCGGCTAACCGCCACTTTGACCCCACCAGCGGGCTGTGCCTTCCACGTCGCGCAAAGAGTCGATGCCGCGCTCAGAGACCACCCCTTGTGGTATCGAGGAAGTGCTGCGCCTGCCAAGCGCTTTGCAAGCCCGAATCGGATACGGAGACCACCCTCAGCGCACCTTCTGTGGTGTCGAGGAAATGCCACGCCTGCCACGCACTGCGAGCCCGAAACGGTCAGGGAACCTCCCCCAGCGCACTCCCTGTGGTGTAGAGGAAATCCACGCCTGCCACGCTGTGCGAACCCGAAACGGACAGCGCTCCCACCACAAGCGCACCACCTGTGGTGTCGAGGAAATCCACGCCTGACATGTTGTGCGAGCCCGAAACGGATAGCGCTCCCACCACCAGCGCGCCCTTTTGTGGTGTTGAGGAAGCACCACGCCTGCCACGCCTTGCGAGCCCGAAACGGATAGCACTCCCACCCACAGCGCGCCTCTTTGTGGTGTCGAGGACGTGCCACGACTGCCGCGCCTTGCAAGTCCGAAACGGATAGCGCTCCCACCCACAGCGCGCACCCTTGTGGTGCCGAGGATGTGCCACGCCTGCCACGCTTTGCGCGCCCACCCACAGCGCATTCCCCGGTGGTGTCAACGAAGTGCCACGCCTGCCACGCTCTGCGAGCCCGAAACGCAGAGCGCTCCCACCGCCAACGCCACCCTCTGTGGTGTCGAGGAAGGGCCACGTGTGCCACATTCTGCGAGCCCGCCGTGCGTGTGTTGCATGCGTCTGATGCGTGTGATGCGTCAGGAGGAGGTGTGCTTATGGGTGTGAGCGTATGTGTGTGTGTGTTTCGAGTGTGGAGGAGGAGTGACGAGGAGAGGTAAGGAAGGGTGAGGAGGGGGGAAACCGTAACCCCAAGAACCGCACGCGGGTGGGGTGACGCTTCCTGATGTCCACCGCGTCACATTGCCACCCCTGCCACACTTTCTGTGCCTGGACCGTATAGAGACCGCGCTCAGGGAGCAGGAGGAGAGGGGGAAGGAGGAATGAGAAGGAGAGGAGGGATGAGGAGACGCGGGTGCGACGCGGCAGAGTCCACGAAACATGTGGGGCAGAATCCAGAACATGTTCAAGCATAATCAAACATGGTTGTTTTATTGTCAAGATTAATGTGTTTTTTTACATATACAAAAACAAAACAAAAAAAAACGTCCCCACATAAGTTTTGATTACTTTTGGACACTCCTCCTTCAGAGGGACGTGCCCGACTTGAGGCCAGTGTGGAATGGGGCGGGGGGGGGGCGTCTCCAGGTGAATCTCGTCAGGTCAGTTCCCCCTAAACCCAGTCCTGCCAACGCCCGATGCGGGGGCCCGTGGCATGTGCGGCGCAGTCTCTAGCCGTACTTGGCCATCGCGCCGAGATGAGACTTGCGGTGCGTTGGCCATCGCCAGTCCGGTTCATCCTCATTTCCCCCCCCTCCCTGTCTCCAAAAGGGTCGGGTGTTGAGAGGAGCGCCCCTGGCCCAAGGTGCCCCCAGTGTCTCGCTCCATTCTGGAGCCGCTGGAGCCCTCTGGGCCTCGCGAGGGGGTGCCCTGGAGGCCGCCTGCGCCACCCCGAGAATCCCAGGGGTACTCTGGGCCAGGGGCCCTTCTGGCAACACCCGCCAGGGGGCGCTCGAAACGAAGGCCGAAAGATGCCCCCCTCCTCGCCCCCCCCTCTCCGACGCGAGCCCTTACCCTCACCTCCTCCTCCTCCTCCTCCTCCTCCTCCTCCTCCTCCTCCTCCTCCTCCTCCTCCTCCTCCTCCGCTCCGAGGGGGGGCCCTTGGCGGAGGCGCTGGCGGCTGGGCCACCTGGCCAGGGTCGACGCGCGGGCCGCGCGGCGCCGGCTGGCGGACCGGGCAGAATTCGCCATCGGCGCGGAGGGCGGCGACGGGCCTCCCACGGAGGAGCCTCGGCGCGGGAGGACGAGGAGGAGGAGGAGGACGAGGAGGAGGACGAGGAGGAGGAGGAGGAAGAGGACGAGGAGGAGGAGGAGGAAGAGGAGGAGGAAGAGGAGGCGGAGGAGAAGGAGGAGGAGGACAAGGACGACGAAGACAAGGATGAGGAGGAGCGAGCGCCAGCATGGATCCAGGGGGCGTAGAGTATCGGGCATATCGGGTATAGCCAGGGCCCCGGGTGAGGGGACCCGGTCAGTGGTAGGGCCCTGGGGCCCCTCCATTGGCCAGATTCACTACACCAGGTTTGCCGTAACTCATGTTTTTCGGGTGACGGCAGTTCCGGTTCGCGGAACGGCGCGGGGGGGGGGGCGCCCCCCGGTACACATCACTAAACCAGGTTTCAACAAGCCCAGTTCTGCCAACGTCCGAGATTAGCCACGGGTCCCGCTTCCAGGGGGAACCGCGGAATTCCGCCGCCGAAGCAGGCGGCACTGGCCGCATGTTGTATTGTGGAGGGCGCCTCGCCCGGTCCATGGATTTGGCGACCGCGCTCCAAATCCATGGATCGCTAATCCATCCATGTTTGCGCGCCCCCGAAAGTCGGCGGCGAGCGAGGGGGGGAAACGCGAAGGAGAAGGCCTTCTCATAAGGCGGCGGGGCTTCTCTGGAGCCCTCTGCCGAGAAGTGTTCTGTGTCTGCAGGGAAGACTGTTTGACAAGTCTTCAGAAGGCTGGAGAGCCTCCGAACCTTCTGAGGAGGCCTGCTTCTCCTATTTCCCCCCTCGGGCGCGCCGCCGAGAAAAGGTAATTAGCAACACCTCTGCGGCAACTCGTGTGAGCCTCGCATGCCATCTTGTTGGCTCTTGCGGATCGGCGCTGATCGACGCTAGATCAGAGCTAATCGGCGACCATCGAGGCTAGATCGGTGCATCTCATCGATTCCCAGACGCTCATCGACGCTAATGCATTCTAGCGATGCAGTTACGAAGGTATACAGGCTCTCATGACTTGCTGCCGAACGATGCCGCTACCCGTTCCTCGTTATCGCCTTTTCGGGTCTCCTGTGAGGCCCTCGTCGCCACCGTTGGATTTGTTTCGGAATTCTGGTCACGCACTCCTGGAGAGGTCAAGGGGGAAGCGGTATCGGCACCTTCTGGTAGAGTTGGATGGCGCCAGCCCTCAGAGGAGGAAAAAATACCGATGCCGCTGCTTGTCCTTGAGAGCCCTCTCGGCACGGCCAGATTGTCCTCGAAATCCGAATCAAAGTGCACCCCAGGAGAGGTCCAGGGAGTAGCAGTATCGGTCATTAGCTAGTTTCACCACGCGCAAGTCGATTGGCTTACGATAGTTTTTCCCCCGACCATCCTGTGCGAATGGGTCCTCGTTTTGAAGAGACGGTCCCCGCGTTCACTCCTCCTCCCCCTCCTCCTCCTCCTCCTCCCGCTGCCCCCTCCCTCCTGTTTTCATCATCAGCATCAGCATCAGCATCATCATCATCGACATCGTTATCATCATCAACACCACCACCATCATCATCATCATCATCAACATCATCACCATCGACATCCAGCCGATTGGAAATTGAAATATTCAATCGGCGACCTCAATATTTGAGTTCAAAACCTCGGAATTGAATTCGGCCGCCGCCACTTCAATATAGGAGTTGGAAGCCCAACATCGAAAGATTGAAAAGGTTCAATTCTGGACTCCAGAGTTGAAATATTGAAATACTGAAATTTAAATCTCGATATTGAGGTTTAGCTCAATGCTGGGTTTCAGACCCAATCGTGGGGTTTGAACTCCAATATTGAACTTACGAGGCCGTAGGCCGGGCCAGAGGAGAAGAGGGAAAAGCTCGCACTTCCCAGGGGAGAGACAACGGGCAGAGTGGGGAAGGGGCAGGAGGTGGGGAAGGAGGAGGAGGCCGTAGCATGAAAAGCACGTCCCGCCCAAAACAGTCACCCGAGGCGTTTGGTGACTGTTTTGGGCGCGGCGGAGCCCCGCGGGCGGGGCATTCAAGCACGACGCAGCTCTCGCGGTAGCAGGCGCTTGCTCTAGCGGGCCGGTCGGGTCGGGCGGGCGGGATATTACAGGTTGACGCAGCTCTCGAGGTAGCACACGTTTGCCCTGGCGGACCCGTCGGGTCGGGCGGGCGGGATATTCAAGGACGACGCAGTTCTCGCGGTAGCAGGCGCTTGCTCTAGCGGGCCGGTCGGGTCGGGCGGGCGGACCGAGGAGCGGGAGGAGATCGATCTTTCTCGCCAGGGGCGCCCGCCCCAAACCAGTCACCGGAGCCTCTTGGTGACTGTTTTGGGCGGGCGTGGATGTAAGCGATGAAGATCGGCAGCACCCAGAGGAGGGAGGAGGAGGAGGAAGAGGAGGAGGAGGACGAGGAGCCAATATGCCTCGAACCTCCATTTTCGCAGGCCAATTCAAAGTCCAATAGTGGACTTCTCAACCCCGAAATTGAAAAAAAACAACATCGGGTTTCGGAAACCCCAATATCGGGGTTGGAACCCCGATATTGGACCAAGACCTCAATATTGAACCGCAAGATTGGGAAAAGTCAAGATGACAATCCCGAGTTGGACAACTCCACTATTGGTTTGTTTCAATATAGGAGTTGGAGAACTCCAATATGGAAGGTGGGGATTGATCTCTTTCAGGGGACCCACCGCCGGTGGATATAACCAGTTTTCGTGGCCCCATAGGGAGCTCCACCGAAGGCCCCAGCGGAGATGCCCGCATGCGTCCGCCACACCCAGTACGCCGTTTCGTGGCCCCACAAGGAAGCTCCACCGAAGGCCCCAGTGGGGGTGCCAGCATGCGACCGCCACACCAAGTACAGCGTTTCGTGGCCCCATAGGGAGTCTACTGGAGGCCCCAGTGGGGGTGCCCGCATGCGACCGCCCACGCCGTGTACAGCGCTTCGTGGCCCTATATGGAAGCTCCACCGAAGGCCCCAGTTGGGGTGCCCGCATGCGTCCGCCCACACCGAATACAGCGCTTCGTGGCCCCATAGGGAGCTCCACCGAAGGCCCCAGTGGTGGTGCCCGCATGCGCCTGCCACACCCAGTACGAGGTTTCGTTGACCCATTGGGAGCTCCACCGAAGGCCCCAGAGAGGGGCCCCCGCATGCGTCCACACCCAGTACGCCGCTTCGTGACCCTATAGGGAGCTCCACCGAAGGCCACAGAGGGTTGTCCGCATGCGTCCGCCACAGCGAATGCAGCGTTCCGTGGCCCCATAGGGAGCTCCACCGAATGCCCCAGTGGGGGCGCCCGCATGCGTCTGCTACACCCAGTACAACTTTTCGTGGCCCCATAGGTAGCTTCACCGAAGGCCCCAGTTGGGGTGCCCGCATGCGTCCGCCAGACCCAGTACAGAGCTTCGTGGCCCCATTGGGAAGCTCCACCGAAGGCCCCAGTGGGGGTGCCCGCATGCGTCCGCCAGATCCAGTACGCCGCTTCGTGGCCCAATAGGGAGCTCCACCTGAGACTCCAGTGGGGGTGCTCGCATGCCTCCGCCCACGCCGTGTACAGCGCTTCGTGACCCCATTGGGAGCTCCACCGAAGGCCCCAGTGGGGGGGGCCGCATGCGTCCGCCACACCGAATACAGCGTTTCGTGGCCCCACAGGGAGCTCCACCGAAGGCCCCATTGGGGGTGCCCGCATGCGTCCGCCACGCGCAGTACAGCGTTTCGTGGCCCCATGGGCAGTTCCACCGAATGCCCCAGAGGGGGCGCCCGCATGCGTTTCCCCCACCCAGTACAACGCTTCATGGCCCCATCGGGAACTCCACCTAAGGTCCCACTGGCGCAGCCTGCATGCATAACCCCCACCCAGTACAGCGTTCGTGGCCCCATTGGGAGCTCCACCGAAGGTTTCAATCTCGACCACCGCTTGCGCCTCCCCTACCCAGTACATCGTTTCGTGGCACCATACGGAGCTCCACAGAAGGTTTCAATTGCGACCCCCGCATACGCCTCCCCCGCACAGTACATCGCTTCGTGGCCCCACAGGGAGCTCCACCGAAGGCTCCAGTGGCGCAGCCCGCATGCGTCTCCCCCACCCAGTGCAACTCTTCGTGGCCCCGTAAGGGAGCTCCATCGAAGGTTCCAGTGGCGCAGTCCGCAAGCATCTCCCCCACCCAGTACAGCTCTTCGCGGCCCTACACGGGGGCTCCACCGAAGACGATACGTACCGGTAGGACCACCCTACGGGTGATAAGGAGGTTTGGGGGGGGAAGGGGCAGGCGGGCCTTTTGCGATGGCGCTGGGTTTGTTGGTGGTTTATTCAGCTTTCGTATTGTCGCGCACATCTGCCCATCGATCTATCGACCTAGATCCATAAACATGTATATGTGTGTTGGTCTGGCTATGTCTATGCATCGTGCGTTTTGCGCGCGCAGTGCGCGAAACGCTTCGCAATACTTATTATTCGCATGCGTTTCGCGCCCATCCTGGGACAGCGTCGGGACAACCATATCCGTCGGTATATCGATATTTATTTCTACGTGCCTATCTATCTATATATAAATGTATACAAATTGACCTTTCTATCGACCTATCTATATATTAACCATCAGGGCAACCATCAGGACAACCATCGGGTCAATCATCGGGACAACCATCGGGACAACCATCATGACAACCATCGGGACACCCGTCTGGACAACCAACGGGGCAACCATCGGGACAACCATCGGGGCAGCCATCGGGACAACCATCGGGAGAACCATCGGGACAACCATCGGGGCAGCCATCGGGACAACCATCGGGACAACCATCGGGAGAATCATCGGGACAACCATCGGTACAACCATCGGGACAACCGTCGGGACAACCATCGGGGCAACCATCGGGACAACCATCGGGAGAACCGTCGGGACAACCGTCGGGTCAACCATCGGGGCAACCGTCGAGACAGCCACAACCATCGGGACAACCATCGCGACAACCACCAGGACAACCGGGGGCCACGCCTGGTGCCCGGGGGGGCGGCCCTTTTGGCAGTAGATGGCTTCTACCAAGGATGGAATTTGCGCAGCTTCGCCTCGCCCTCACGCACGACGCGAACCGAAACCGAAGTCGGTGTCCCTGTTGGGGTCACTTTCGTTCCAACCCCCCAATCTCCGACAACTGCGGTATTCACAACTGCATATGGCTTGGTGCGTCGCCAGGCTCATTTTTGGCGTGGCGTGTCGTTCCGCGGGTTCTGGCCCACCACGCTTCGGCGCGACACGCTAACTATTTCTCTTGCACTAGACGCCAGCGTCCCGAGCCTTTCCCGGCCTCCAGCCACACAGAGCAGAGCGACGCACTAGCCGCTTGCAGGGCATAGCGTGTCACCGAGGCCGACACACCGACACGCTATGCCAAAGTTCCCGTTTGTAGAGGTTGGCACCAGCACCAGCATTGGCAGTGGCCATCACCTGGGGAAGGTGTCCCCGATCTCGGCCATGCTGGTCATCTTGGGGCTTCTCGGGCGGCCGAGAGATACCACTGGCAGCAAGATCCAGGATTATCTCCCCCCGGAGGAGGCACACCCCCGTTTTCGGGGCCGGTGCCAAGTTCGACTTCCGTGTGCCTGGAAATTCGGAGGCGGTGCTGGGCGGGGGGGAGGAGGGGTTGCACCTCGTGCGGGGGTCGACAGCGCTGCCACGGTGCAGCGGAGCAGGAGGGCCCTGAGGGGAGCACGAGCGGTGTTCGGTTTTTTTTTTTCGCCGCTCGCGGATTCCAGGAGCCCTCCATTGGCCCCCGGGACCGTCCGGAAAGTGTGCAGCAAAACAGGTTCAGTCCCGGGAGAAGGCCCCGGGGTCCAGGACCCATCTCCGTCAGGACCCTTTTCCTTCATGGCAGGTTTTTGGTCATGCGCCTTTCGTCTTTCATGGGCCCCATCTGTTAATATCTCCCCCCAGTGCTGATGTCTGGGTCTGCTGGCAGCTGGCGAGAAGGGGGATGGCGCACCAGGTAACGAATGCACTTGACGTGGCCCGCCTGGGCGAGAGCTGCATGCACATGTGGCTGGATGTTTTTGCACCGCGCAATCTTCCTGTGGCCGTGTAGGCCGGGATTCCGTTTGTGTATACAGCCCCTCTAGGTGTTGCAAATGCGAATCCAGCCAGTTGTGTTTCGAGCATCTTGGTGTGGCGATCGGCATGGCCTCCACAGGAGGCGTAGGGGCGTCTATAGAAGGGTCCCTCCCGCCGCCCTGCCCCCGTCTGGGCTGCCAAGTTCGCAGGGGTCCAGGTCCGGAAGGGTGCGGGATGTTTCGGTAGCCTGGGCAGGAGGAGTTGGCTTTCACGAGCAGGCTTGTCCCGACTGACCTCGCTCACGGCGCAGGCACGTCGTCTGAAACGGCACGCCCGCCGCGGGGGTGACGGGCCACAGAGTGGCGGATGCATGGGCATGGTCGCACATTGCGCTAAAAGTTGGGTTCATCCTCCTAAACTTTTGTGTTCCCTTCCTGATCATCATCATCCGTCGTCCTCAGGTGCGGGCGGGCTGAGGAGCACGGATTTGCCAGCGTCACGCGTTGCGAGGCAATTCCGCCTCGTCCTCCTCCCCTTTCTTCCCTCAGTCGTGTCTTGGCTCAGGAGCACGCGATCTGCCAGCTGAGCGCCACATCCCCCTCGCTTGTGCAGCAGCGCCGCGGGGGGGGGGGCCCTCGCTCCGCACGCCCCTCCTGGCTGCCCGCGCGCGTCGCCTCGTGCCCCGCCCTCGCCCCGCGTCCAAAGCTCGTCTCGTGCGCTCCCCGGCCGGCTCCCGGCGAGACCGTGCCGCGCCCCGTCGCAGCCGAGCGCGCCTGCCGGGCTCGGCCTCTGCCGCGCGGCCCGCGGCGTCCCCCCGGGGCCCTCCCCGCCTTCCTGCCGGGTGCCCTGCGTGCAGGCGGCGCGAGGCGGGCGGGCGGAGCTTCCACGGGCCACGCCCACGGAGCCTGCCCAGGCCTTGCCACGAAGCCAGGCCCGCGGGCGCCAGCGGGGGTGGCAACCAGGGCACGCCTCCCCCAGGGACGAGGAGGCGGAGGAGGAGGAGGAGGAAGAGGGGGAGGAGGAGGAGGAAAAGGAGGGACGAGGAGTACGAAGGGATGAAGAGGGGGAGGGAGGCGGAAGCAGGAGGGATGATGGGGAGGACGACCTCAGCTTTATCCAGCGTTTCAGCAGTTGGTTTGCTGAGGGAGAGTAGGAGGGAGGGAGGACGAGGAGGAGGAGGAGGAGGAGGAGGAAGACTTGAATTCTGGAAGGAGGAAGGGGGGGCAAAGGAAGGAAGATGGGGAGTGTGGAGGAGAAGGGATGGTGATGAGGTCTCAACGTTGTCTTTCCCAAGGGGAATCTGTCTCGGGACCCAGGCCAGTCCATGGTCGATGGATCTTCTCCTCTTTCCCTGGTCCTCCTCCTATTCCCGCTGGTGTTCGTCGTCGTCCTCCTGGTTCCTTCTCCTGTGCCTTCTGCTCATCCGCCTCCTCCCCGTCGCCCCATGCACGCAGCTCCCCTGCTCCGACTGCGCACAGCACGATGGGGTGTCTTGGGGGCGCTCCAGGTCCGCTAGGACACGCGACCGCGGAGAAAGATCGTCGGAATGGGAAGGACCGGGTGGGAGGGGTGGGATGTCAGATCCGGCGCCAGCGCACCGAACATGTCTTCCTCCCCCTCCTCTCGCTCCCCCCACCCCAGCACACACACACAAACCAGGAGCAGCCGCCCCACTCCCTGCCTCTTCTCCTTTCCTTGGCATCGCTCGGACGCTTTCCTTTCTTTATCGGCGAAAGCCATTGGCATCCTGGACCATTGAGAAAGTATCATGCACGAGACCGAACAGTGCACGGGAAAGGGACGTCCGATTGACGGCGAGTGCACGCCGCCCGGGCTTTGGCTCGCCTCCAGGGTCGGCCTTGGTTTCTAGTGTGTCTGGGATGGGGGATGTCGACGCCATATGTGCATGGTGACCGTGCTGGCAGTTATTCTCCTCTCCCCCCTAGCAGACAGAGGCCCGGTCAAACCACATGGGTTGGCCCGTAGAAGGGCGAGGCTCCAGCACAGTGGCCTGAGGGCACACGTGCGTAAACGGAGAGCAAACGTTGTGCCTCCGAGGGGGGAGGGGGGAGGAAAGAAAAGAACGGGGGCGGTCCTCACGCGTGAATGCAATACTCGACGAATGCGTCCTCGTCACCATCGTGTACATTGTCATACCAGCGAGATACATTATGCAAGACATCGCGGGCGAATCCTTGGAGGCGGTCGTCCCATCTCGTCGAAGGGCGCCCGCGCGCCCTCGTAGCCCCATGCGTGTAGCGCGGGTTCCATACTATGACTTTCTGAGTCCATTCCGTGTCCGAGCATGCTGACCTGCACGCGAATCTGAACAGGCGGCGGTAATGCAATTCACTTCATTTTTCAATCGGAAAGATCTGCATTGCATTGGCGATTCTGTCCCTCATGCGTCTCATGGTGTCTGCCCAGTCCTCGCCCTCGCAACGCCTCCAACCAACAACCAAGCGAAGCATCTTATTCTGAAGAACGTCCAGGGATTGCGTTTGATGCTTGGTCAGCGCCGCAGCCGATAGTCCGAACAACAATGTAGGTGTAATGACTGATTGGAAAAGCTTCAGCCGCAGTCTTACGGATACGTTCTGGTCTGTGAGAACATAACGGTGTGCATGAAATTTGTGCCAAGCTCGCTGGAATCGTCGACCCAACTCGATATCGTTACGATGTTTTAAACTCCCGGGTATACTTTTTCCCAAATATTTGTGGACATCATTGCCTCCCATGATTTTCAGCATGTGCTCGCCAATCTCAATGAACATAGTCTCCATCCCCTCCTCCGTGGTAAGAATCTTTGTCTTCTCCGGATTTAGCTGGAGACCAACTGTGTCAAGCTCCTCAATAAGAGTTTCCATCATCCAGCTCGTCGGCAGAACTCGCGTACAACATGATGTCATCAGCGTAACGTATGTCCGTGAGTTTTTCGCCCGCTCCTATGAACAACCCGGCGTGACCAATGCGGATCTTCCATCTCTCCATTGCCAACTCCAAACCAGCGTTGAACAGCATCGGGCTGATGACGTCGCCTTGCTTGACCCCCCGCTGGATGCGAAAAGCTTGCGCGTTCGACACGCTGCCCATCTTTCCAGAATACAGCCTCGCCAGCAAGGCAGTGTAGTCTTCATCAAGGCCTTGGCGCCGGAGGGCATTAAAGAGAGGGCCGTACTCAATCCGATCAAATGCTTTGGTCAAATCCAAACTGGCGCACCACAGCGGCACTTGCCATTATATGCATTTGCTGCATGCCACTTCGAAGACCAGGAACGCGTCATCGACCGAGTGGTTCGGCCTGAAGCCTACTTGGTCCGGCCCTTGCGCGTGTTCGAGGACGTCGCGCAAGCGATGGTACAGCATGCGGGAGAATATTTTGTAAGTTGTCTTGAGAATGGCTATCGGTCTCCAGTTTTTCGGCTGTGCCAAATCCCCAGACTTAGGGAGCATTGCAAGCACTGTGTCTTTCCAAGAATCTTCCACTTCGCCCGTAAGCAGCACCTGGTTGTAGAAAAACAATAACCAATCGGTAAATGTATCGGAGGCGTGCTTGAACATCTCGGCGACGATGCCATCCGTGTCGGCGCCCCTCTTATTGTTCAAAGACCGGATTGCTTTTGTAAGCTCCATCTTGGTAAATTGGGGAATGTTGGTAAACACGCGTTGGTCCGTCATCTCCGGCGGCGGCACCGCTGTAGACGAGAATATGTTCTCCAGGAAGCCCGCCAAAGATTCAGGAGGACATTGTGCATCGACTACGTCCTTCTTCCTTTGGGCTGGAAAGAACTTGGTTGCAGCGAGCCGATGTAGATCGCAGAACTCGCCGAGGATCTGTTCGGTGCGCCTCGCTTTTCTTCTCCGCAACTCTGCACGCACAGTTCTGCGAATACGTTTGGACATGTCCCGTCTGGCTGCGGACCCGTGTGGGAGAGCTCGACGTTGACGCAACAGCTCCTGGAAAGCAGTATGATTCCAGAAACATGTTTGCTCTTCCTGCTGTTGGGCGTGTCCCGGTGCAACGGCGGCCAAGCACGCGTCCAAGTCGGACAGATTACCTGGCGGACTGTCTTGCAAGTGAGCGTCCAAATCATGACCATAATCCGCATCATCACGCGGTTGCCAACCTCGATGATTCCACTTCTGCTGGCGCTTCCGGGTACGGATTCTCATAGTCAAGTGTGCAAGTACAGCCCTGTGATCCGATCCCAAGCTTAATAGATCAACCGCTCTACTGTCCACCACCTGTATGGAGCCAGGCACTAAGATGAAGTCGATGCACCTTGTGTGTCCAAGACTCGATCGGAATGTCCACGCGTCTGCGTGGGTCGGAAAGTTTGCTAATTGAAAACCATGGCACGCTACGAATTTGTTCAATATTTGCCCCCTTGGGCCGATATTGTACTGAGTATTCCAATCGCCACCAATAACTACATGGCTTCTTCTCCTCTGGGCCGCCCCTACCATGTTATCAAGCCGGTCGTAGAACTCGGGGAACTCATCCAGAGAAAAACCAGCATGAGGAACATAAGTGGAAATACATGTGTATGTGCTTCTCCCCAATACTATGTCTAACTCGATCATGCGGCCGGCCTCAGCACATACCCGGCGAATATTCTGAGCGTGGCGTTCGTGCACCAAGACGCCAACGCCCGCAGCAGCATAACCATCCAAATGTAAAAACAATGTATGCCCACCTTCTAATGTAAGTTCTGTTGATGTCGCCCTGGTCTCGCTGAACATTATGATATCCCACTCCACATCTGTCAATTCAGCAATTAATTCAACTATTTGCGCATTCGTTCGTAATCTCGCATTCTTGCTATACACATGCAAATCCCCTGTCAAGGTAGGGGGTGAAACGTGGTTTGACCGGTGCTGTCCCTATTTTGCCAGAGGCTTCCCTTTACCTTTGCCTTTGTCCCCAACCGCCTCTAAAGACTTTTGGCACTTATCGTAAAGCGCCTTGTATTCATCGTCGTTGTGAAGATACCCCCAATTCTTCCACTCCTCGCTCAACCACGTAATTGCCAAGTTCTTCCCCGAGCAGGTTGTAGACAGAATCGTGTCAGCACCGATCTTCAAAGTAAGAGCCATATCATCAACTTTGATAGCTTTAGAATTGAAACCCCAATTGGTGAGCAACTTCTTGAAGCCAAAAAGAAAACGAAGAGGGACACGTACATGGACAGGTTGGTCTTGATTCGCCCACACCTTTTTTCCAGAGCACGTGATGGATGTGGTCCGGAACTTGTGCACGACTGTCTGGAGGTCGTCCGGGTTGGCCATCTTGCCGAAAACGAGGCCTGAAAATGTGTCCCCTTTGATGAAGATGTCGACGGGTGGTG